AACTCGAGGCCGAAGTCAAAGAGATTGCTAGGAAGAGGGACATGTATAAGCTTCTCAGCGAGCAACGCGAATGAGAAGTCAAGAACCTTCGAGCCGAGTTGGACGCGGCTCAGAAAGAACATGCCAACTTGGTAGAACAGGTACAGATTTTTGAAGTTAGTGATGGCGAGCTAGACATGGCGACTAACGGTCAAAACCTGCAGGTCCAACAGAAGCTTGACCGGATCGACCAACTTCGAGCCGAAATGGACGTAATCAAGGTCGAGGCCGAATAGTGGAAAGGCAAGATGGATCGTTTGGCTTCGGAAAAGGAGACTGCCCGAGAGCAGCTGGCCTCGGCGGAGGCCCAACTTCGAGCAGCGAGGGAGAAAACTGAGGCCCGGTCCCAAAAAATCGAGGACTTTCAGTCTCAACTGGGCTCGGCTATTGCAGAATGGGACACCCTTGCCAAGGAGCTTAAAGCAGCCAAGTCAACGGCGGAAATAACCAGGGCCGATGTTGAGGGGATGGTGACCCAGTACAAAGCTGATGCTGAGGTAGCACAGGACAGCCTGAAAGACATCGTCGAATACGTGAAGTGGCAGTCCCGAAGGGAGGCCCTCGAGTAAGTTCATGCCCGGGGTTTCGACCTATCGGCCGAGATTGAAAATGCAGGCCGAGGCCAAAAAGCTGGAATATCCCGAGGACGAGGAAGGATCCGAGGGTTCCGGCGGATCCGAGGGCGGAGAAGATCCTGATGGTCCCCTCGACCATTTTCACGTTTGTTTGTTTTTGCTTTTTCTTTATGTTTGCAAAGATTTTGAATGCCTTAGCACGTAATAATAAGGTCTAGTTCGGAGGTTTGAACAAGGCTCGTTCTTGATGTAATTTTGTTTAAGACTCGTGGGGGCTTGGTATGACCGGAAGCTTTCCCCGAAGTGTTTACTTAGAATTTTTTAGATTATAATTTCGCCGAGGGTATCCTTTGAACTTGTTAGCAAATTTTTAAAGGCCTTATATTTTGGTTATGGGTTTCGAACGTCTCCGAGCCATTTTTAGGATGGCCGTAGCCCTTTAAAATTCGGGTACTGCCTAATAGGCTTATTATCCCGAGTTTCGATACCCGAGCCGTCCGGGCTTACCTAGGACGATAATCCCCGAGTGGGGGTGGCCATAGCCTTTAAGGTTCGGGCACTACCTAAGAGGTTTTTGTTGTTGCTCCCAAACGCACACGCAAGTATACGCGGTCGTCAAGTAATAAAGTGACTAAAAGTCGGATGTCAAACCCACGAGGACTTATGATTAACTATTAACTAAATTAGACTATCCTAATTATCTAAACAAGAATTAAACCTAGAAGTATTTGGTTCTAAACTAATTAAATAAAAAATATAAATAATGAACTTTTAACAGAGAGAAAGAGCAGATTTTTATGATATCAATGTAATGAAAACGATCTAGGGTTATGGGCTATCTAACATTCCTATTGTATTCTTCAATTGAATTGTCTAATTAATTTATCTAGTTTATTGGTTGACAGGGTTAATACCGCTCATAAGAATCTGTCGAGTTTTTACTCGCCTATTCAAGCTAACCTAATGCCTATATGTCTATGGAGTTAGAATCAACAAGAACGCATTTATAATTCCTGTATTTCAACCAAGCAAGGCAATTAGGTATATGTCTATCCTAACCGCGAATCCGTTTCCCGATGCCCAGGTTCAAGAACTTGCTCTACTCAATCCTATATGCAATCTAGAATTCCCACTTTCGAGTTCAACTCTGGATTCGTAGATAGTATTCAATTGGTGATCAAGCAATCAAATAATTAAGTGCAGGATTGAATAAATAAACTAATATGATAAACTAAGAAATCAAAATCAATATTCGAATAACAATAGTCATGAAAGAACCACAACCCTAGAACGTGAAGCTTAGCTCCACATAGACATGGTAGCAAAACAACAAATCATACAAAGAAACATAAAAAGACTAAGTTGGTGGAAGAAAATTGACTTTTTGCCTTTTTGCTCCGATTTCGCTCCAATTCGCGCCCTTTCGTCCCGAATTGCATCCGAATGATTCCTACACATAGAAACACCATAATTTAGCACAAATCATTATATTAAACATCTCAAATCATCGAAACAAGAGCAAAACACGAGGCGATATATAATAAAAATATACATACTTTAAGCCGATTATCATTTGTGCCTCTAGGTTTTGACAACCCGAGCCATCCGAGTTTGTCTTGGACGACAGTCCTCGAGTGGGGGTGATCTCTTGGATCCGGACAGAGGTGGCCCTTGGGCTCGATATCCTTAAGGAATAAAATGTAGTAGTTTTTAGGAGACAAAATATGTATCTGCAAGGTAGAAATTTTCTTTCATTCCCGTGTGCAATCATACAAGATTGTGAAGGTGTACAAACTTCGTGTTACAGCTTAAGTGGTCTATGTGGGCACGATTTATTTGACCGTTTGGCCCTTACAATAAATCTTATCCACCAAGCCTAGACTGTTCGAGCACAAAGTTTCCTTCCTTGCTAAAATCCTTATCCAAGGGTGATGGGCCCCAGTATTTAAGGCCGATCGTAGAGAGGGCTCGTATATTGTTGATGTGATTCTCGACTCCGGTGCATAGCCAGTCTTCAATTCTAAGTTTAGCACGACCCACTGTTGGGACAAAACCGGTTCAAGAAAAAAAGAGTGCAACACGTGCTTTCAGGCCTAAGAGTTGCATCATTCCCTGGCTGTTACCTGCAAGCGTTAGTATAATTCGTAATATATGTAAAGAAAAGTAATGAATGGCGTCGTACCTTATCAGTAGTATCGTTTCAAGTGGGTTACGTTTTAGTTGTTCGGTAGTTTCTCACCATTCACCATTTTGAGTTTGTATGATCCTTTGCCAGTGATCTCGATAATTCGATATGGACCTTCCCAATTCGGCCCCAGCTTCCCTTCGTTCAGGTTCCAGGTGCTCAATGTCAACTTTCTTAACACCAAGTCCCCGACATTGAAATATCGAAGGTTGGCTCTCCGATTGTAATACCTTTCGATCTGTTTCTTTTGGGCAGCCATTCGGACGAGGGCGGCCTCGCGCCTCTCGTCCAACAGTTCCAGGCTTGTACTTATGGCCTCGTTGTTTGACTCTTCGGTCACATATCGGAACCCGAGACTCGGTTCTCCTACTTCGACCGGTATTAGTGCCTCGACACCGTAGACCAAAAATGGATAACAATTGAGTTTGTAAGTGATTTTAAGGATACGCGGATTAATTCGACACAAATGATAAGTTATGTTAGATTAAATGAATGAATGTATAATAAATTCAAACCACGTAAGGAGAATGATTCCAGCCTTAATAAAATATCCACCCTCGATCCGGACTCACAATGACCAGCGCTGATGAACAAGTATAAGAACAAAGAAAATAATACTTGCGTTGGTATGCGTGCGTTACAATGGCTCTAATGAATAATCAAACTCTCCTTTATATAGTAAGGGAGTTTTACCCTAAGTACAATTCTATAGAAGGTAAGAAATCTTCTGTCTAACTAATCACCGGTTCTCTATCGATCCGGCTGGTCATGGATATATATCACGTCCTTTTGTTGGGCGTGCTTGGTTGCCCGACGATGTCCTCCGGGGTCTTTTGGGATTTAGGCCGATCTCGGATCATTGCCCCGATATTCTCGAGGGTGGGTGTCACGCCTCTGGATTCTTACTCGATAAGACCCTTGCCTCGATTCCGATTCCTCGTCATCATATCTCTGGCTCGATTTATCTTATCGGAGCATGGGTGTACCATGAGCTCGATTTACTCGTATACAATAAATATTTAGTATCTAATATTTACTTGCTCCGACTAATTTGAATCACGCCATATTAAGCCCCTTGAAAAACTTTCCTACTAAATTTTTTTGGGCAATGGCCAAAAATATGTAAAGCCATTAGCAAATATAAAAAAATATAAACTGATTATATATATATATATATATATATATATATTATAATAAGAAACAAAAAATATTGGTTACTATTTTGAAGAAGCGTAGATTTTCCTAAAATTTTCAACTCCGGAGTATAATTATAGTGCATTTCAAGACACCTTTAGTCTGGTGAGGGTGTTTGACTAAGCTTATAACTTGTCAACTAGCTTATAGTGCTTTTCGACTTATGTATGGCGTTTGTAAAGTTAAAAGTGCTTATACGTAAAAATAAGCCAAAAGTCATAAGCTGGTCACCCCTAGCTTACGAATTTTTAGCTTATAAGTACTTAAGTTTTAACCAAGATTTTTAACTAATTCTATCCTTAAAATATCCTTTTTTAAAACAAAACTCCTACAATTGATACTCATTGACTCAAGTATCTTTTCAACCTAAACCCCTTCCCCATCGCCACACCTTTTTCAAGTCTGCAATTCTCATTGACTATTTAAGATAAGCAAATTTTTTATTCCTTTGCATATTATATCTTATGTAATTGTGTATTAATCTTTGAACTGTATGTAACAAATTGAAGACATATCAAATTTTTGGGTGGATTGCTTTCTAAGTGTGTGGTGTGATGATATATTGTTTGTTTCTCTTCAAATATTTTGTCCTATTGAGGTTTATTTTTACTAAGAAATTTTTGTCAATTTATTAGTTATTATAACTTATGATTATATTCTTATCATAAAATAAATTATATTATCATAAAATTATCTTATCTAAGACAATTGTATTTAAATAAAATAATAAATAGAATATTTTGTATTTGAATCGATCTGGGAATCTATAATTTTTAAGAAATTAGGCTTCTTATAAATGTAAATAGTTTCTAAGGTTATTTAAGTCGTTTTAACAGAAAAAAGAGCTTACGAGCACTTTTTTATCAAGTAGCGCAGCAAACTTATTAATCATTATAAACACTTGTACCCAAACACATAACTACTTCAAATTAGCTAATCCAAACGGGCACAAATTCACAATCATTCATAGGAAAATACATTTATATACTTCCTCACATGGCCCCCCCCCCCCCCCGTCCCCCCGTATACCATTGTCAAACTCCTACTAGGTGACTGTGACTAAATAAGCAGCTACCCTAGTTTAGTCTCACAGTCATCATCAAATTTGCTAGATTTATGTTCCTTAGATTGCATTCATTAATTTCTGGGCTTTATTTGTGAAACCCCAGAAAATTTGTCGACTTTTCTTGAATTAATTTGAGCTATAACTTCGTGGGGTTGGTGAAAAATGGCAGGTTGTTTTTCAGTTATTAGGTTATCTCACTTTACAACTCCGAAAAATGAAATCTTTACAACTAGGTCCGTTGAAGATTCAAACTTTACGTTTGTTAAGATCCAAGATTTTGTGGGTACAAGCAAAAGTGGTTATTTGGTTTGTAAGAACAATTACAAGTCAAGATTCTTGGTCAAGAGTTCATTGAATCCCCAAGAGGGTAATTCAATATCTGGTGTTAGTGTAAAAACAGTACTCAAAGAGAATAATAATATTTCTCCTGATAATGGTGATGGTGGAAATGGGAAATATCCTGGTGGTGGGGGTAGGGGTGGTGGGGGAGGGGACAATGGGGAAGGTGATAAGGAAGAAGAGGAATTTGGGCCATTACTGAAGTTTGAGGATGTGATGAGAGAGGCAGAGGCTCGTGGGGCAACACTTCCTGCTGATATGATAGAGGCTGCAAAGAGTGTTGGGATCAGAAAGCTACTTCTGCTTAGATATTTGGACTTGCAGGTAAAATTTGATTAGGTGAAAATGATTCAGCTGTATTTGTATAAATATTGACATGAGTTGATTTAAATGGAGTAACGAGGTCAGTGAGGATTTGTTTTGGACTGAGGCGTAGTTGTTGTTGTTGATCTCGAAACTGATTAACCAGTTTACAAAATGATTTCTTGAAAATGTGCATTTTGATTGTTTCTTTGATTGGCAGTTTGTGTTTTTGTGAATGTAGGGGTCAGCTTGGATGGGAGCTGCAATGAGGTCATGCTCTATGCTGCGGAATAGAATGTTGGCCGATCCATCATTTCTTTTCAAAGTTGGAACTGAGGTTTGTGCTGAGCTTGATTCTGATATTGCTAACCTGTAAATAACTCATTGATCTGTGGTACAATAGAAATAGTTGCACATTGAGCTAGTGCATATAGCGTGCCTAGTGTCGTGTTTGTGATTATGTTTGCATAACTTACTGCTTGGAGCCAGTGTTATCAAAAGCAAAACGCGCAAAAAAGCTCTAAGGTCAGTTGGGGCTTTAAGCGCAAAGGGCAAAATAAAACGTGGGCTTTAATGAAAAAAGGCACAAATGGAGAAAAACTACAAATATGTATGTGTAGTTAAAGTCTAATATCTATAAGCATAAATACCAAATATATGGACAAAGAAATTGAAGAAAATTTACGAAAAGTGAAATATCAATTGTTTAGTGTCACCTCTTCAGGATTACGTTCATTGGCAAGGAAAAGTATGTCTAGAGACTTGATGACAACACTGAAGCGCTCGCTAAGCGAGGCGAAGTGCTCAACATGTTTTGAGCCTCGCTTCAGGGCTTAACCGCGCTTTAAGAACGGCTTTGATAACACTGCTTGGAGCGATTAGTGCTTCTAGTTGTATAAGCATGCTAAACTTGAACTTGTGACACCTTACCTACTGCTCATAGTAATGCTTGTTGCATCGTGATATTTAAACTTGATATGCTTTTCGACTTTGAATTCACGGGTTTCTTTGGTTTTGTGATGTAGATAGTTATTGATACGACTTGTGCAACTGTTGCGGAAGTTCAAAAGAGAGGCAAAGATTTTTGGGCGGAATTTGAACTATATGCTGCAGATATGTTGGTCGGGGTTGCTGTCAATGTAGCTCTAGTTGGGCTGCTAGCACCATATGCTCGAATTGGGCAACCGTCTGTATCTCAAGGGTTTGTTGGTCGTATGCAGAGAGCTTATGGAGCGCTTCCAAGCAGGTTTTGACTTATATTTGTCCTCTGATATTATTGCATTAAAAATATTGGAGCACTATTTAGAAGATTTTCACTTTAAATACTCATCTGGCTGCAGTGTTTTTGAAGCCGAAAGGCCAGGGTGTAGATTTACAGTGAATCAGAGAATTGCTGCTTATTTTTATAAGGTAAAGCTGAAGTATACGCTATGCAGGGATCGCGGTATCTCTGTATACACACGTCATTCTCTCCTGTTCTTTTCATAAATACATTCTATTACGTATCTTAAATTCTTTATTTTTCTTTAGGGCATTCTTTATGGATTCGTGGGGTTTGGATGTGGTATCATTGGCCAAGGAATTGCAAATATGATAATGACTGCCAAGCGGTGTGTTACTCTCTGATATCACTGATACTATGTTGCTATTACTTTTGTTGTTTGCTGTTGTTGTTTCCTTTTTCTGATTTAGTTTACATAGATGCTGCTGGTGGAGATATTTTTATTAAATTTCTGACTTACTCCTTCCTGGATTTTGAACTTGGGACTCATTGAGACCCAATACTCATACTAGTAGAGATCCGTAAACCAGAGTTTTCCATTTCGATACTCAAACCCTAGTATGTCGCCTTGTTGTAAATAAGTATTCTATTTCTCTAGTTAGATATGTATATTTGAGTGTCAAGATACTAAATTTTTCATTTCCTTCTGAAAAAGAAGAAATTAATTTTCTTGTTGCTTTTTCATAAACTAGTTTTAGGTGTTTGATATAATAGGATTAAGGAGCTAACACTCGGCATGAAGCTGTTCCCTTTGTTTTCCCACCAGTTCTTTGCTAATCCGGCTTTAATGGCTATCTTGCCATTCTCTGGTTTTGTTTGCTAATGTGAGGACTGTGGATGTGTGAGAGACAATGGTTATACAATTTGGTGGAGGAAAATGGTCAACGGAAAAGGCCTTAAGGACGTTTTTGGGGAGGGGACAGGTGCAAAGGTGATTGTGGGTAGATTCAAAATGGAAGAGATACTCTTTTTTATTTTGTCACAGAGAAAAAGGCAGAGCATTTGGTTCGAAGCCAATAAAGGCTGGGTGGAGATGCTTAAAGGAGTAATTTCAGGTGAAACGAGAAAGCTAAAACCAAAAAATAAATTTCAGCTGTGTTAAGCCAAAAATGTAATGAATCGTCAAAGCTATTTCGTTTAAGGCCGTCTCTAACCTTTTAAATTCTGGAAGAGTAGATATCTGTTGCATCTTTGGCGATTGTCAATTATTTTAACATCCAAAGTTATTTTAGATCAAACTTAGAAGCTCGGGTTTGTAAAACCTTATCGTTATAGGGCACAACTCCAGCATTAGATAATTTTAAGATTGAGAGGTATTTTAAGGTTGCATTAAGATCTGATCAGATAGTAGTACGGAACGGTTTGAAAGTGATAGATGCCCAAGGGAGGAAGATCAGATATCTAATTTCTTCTTATCAAAAGAAGGACCGTCTAATTTCAAATTTAGGAACTCGAGTAGGGATACATTCACAAGGCAGAATGCAGATGCTGCAGAAAGGGGTTGTACTGGGAGAACAGTGTTAATTAGAAGTATAAAGAGGTTTAATTTGATCAACTTTTTGCTTGCCAGCTGAGCTCGTAGCTGAACCAGGATAAATTGTATTTGGCTTGGGAAAGATGAAAAGATCTGTAAATGGGGAGTGCTAAAAGGCCTTTTAATGCTTTAATTGCAATTTTTGATCATATACTAATGTCTGATGCTAATAATATATTTCATCTAGTCTTCGATGGTGTCTTCTTTACTAATTCTGAAAACAAGAAAAAGAATAAGGAGAAGTCAGGTTTGCAGATAGTGATTGAATTATGAGAAGTCGAGGGGGCCTCGTGCATTTTATGGGTTAACCCCATAAGCACTGAAGTAGGTGTATCTATCGTACTTCTTTTATCTGATACGTCTCTCTTCAGCTAATTTTCAACTGGTTAATATGAAGCTAAATTCCTTTCCCTGATAAATTCCTATCCAGAAAAGGAGTAAAACAACACGAAACAAAACAGATACGTTGGATTGGTCAGTTAGTAATACTGGCCTAGTGTGTTGTAATGTTCTTCTTCTGAGTAGTAATAACACTGAGAATATCAGCAAATCAGAGTGGCGGATGATATTACATAGAAAATACATGAATATCAGAAGTAGAACCTTGAAAGCTAAGTTCGTAAGGAATATTTGTTCAGCACAACTTTTTATCAATATGCTATATTCTCCTTTTCATGCTTGTACTTTGTACCCCAGTGGTTGAGGGGAGTACCATGCAGATTTTCTGCTCTTGTTGTTGATCAAAGTAGATGTTATACTTCATTTAACTTAGTGTTTGTGTTGTTCCTTTCTTACTAACATGCTTCTTCATCAGGAGCGTCAAGAAATCAGAGGATGATGTTCCTGTTCCACCTCTTGTAAAGAGTGCATTACTTTGGGGTACGCCTTCATTATTGACTTCATTCCTAATTGTTACTGCTTTTGATAATAAAGTTCGTAAATCAAATGATTTCCAAAACCCTTATCCACCAGGTATACTATGTATGCTGCCTGCTTTATATTATCTGACACCTGTTTATCTCTTTTCAATTGTTCCTGTATACTATCATTGAATCCATTGAAATGCTGAACTACTTCCATTGAGACCATCTTCTGGTTATTCAACGATTTCCTGCATCGTATAGCAATTTTTCCACCAAATGAACTAAGTCAATGATGATATTGCATGAAATGATATAGTATTACAGAATGTGCAATATTTATTAGTGAGATCTTCGCTCCCTATAGAGCATGTGTAAATGCTTATTGCTGTCACTGAACATTCAAAGCTGAGAGTGATGACGCAATCAAGATATTGCGATCACACATTTCTGTACAAGATCGACCAAATCAACTTTCCCTTACATCTGGTAAAGCTTGAAATTTTTTAGACTTGAAGTCTTAAAAATACATATTGTACCCTAGTATTTCTTGAATCAGGCTGCATTTCAGCTCTCTTGGTGCATCGTCATTGCAAGCGGTTGTTTTTTTGAACAACCTCAATCTAAGATGAAGGTCTTGTCTGCCCACCAGCTCTGATTTGGTTACTGGATATGTTATGTGCAGGTGTTTTCCTCGGTGTTTCTTCCAATACCAGGTTACAGATTGTAACCGGGTTAGAACGTCTGGTGGAATCCTCTCCGGTAGGAAAGCAGTTTCCGCCTGTTGCAATGGCATTCACAGTTGGTGTGCGATTTGCCAACAATATATATGCAGGAATGCAGTTCGTGGATTGGGCGAGGTGGAGCGGTGTGCAGTAATTGCATCTTTGTGCTTCTTTTCTCTTTCGGCCATTCTCGGGGGGTCGACACTGGTTCTGCACTTACCCCCAACTTGGCTCGAGACCGAGGCCTAATTGGTTGGAGATGGAGGTGACTTATCACTGAGCCAACTCGCCTCGTCAGTTGTTTGTGCTTCTAATTTAATAATTCCATCTTTGTTGTATTCTAGTTGTTGATTAGAGTTTTTATTAGACCAATAACAAAAACTTTTTTGCCCTTAGGGCTATGGTTTAGTGGTAAGAGTGCAGCATGTGATGTCCGAGTCAGGTGCATGTCACCCGTTCACATCATTTTACTCCTTGATTCTAACTGCAGTATAATTTGGATGTTACTAAAATAATTCACCGTTGAAAATCAATTTGTAGATAACTTTATGTTTGATTGAGTATAACAGTGAACAGTAGCTACATGTAGTGATTTTAAAAATAGCAATACACAATAGAAGAATAGTATTTTGGTGATATTTTTGCGCTAAAATGCTAGCTTTGTGAATATTAATCGAAACAAGTGATGAGTAGTATATCTAACTTCTATCTAAAAGCGAATTTTTTCCTGTTGATGAATTTTTTTAAATAGATTTTTCATAATTACAGATAGCCAAACAAGAATGATTTCATCAAATAAAATATTTCCTTGAAATAGTTTCCACTATTCCTGATGCATTGCCCTTAATAGGAGTGTTGGAGGTCAAGAATTAGGTAGAATGTTAGTAGGTAATCGCTTATCTCTCTTAGGGACTGAGGATATTAGAGTTAGTATGGTAGTTTTTTTTCTTAGATTGCTAGTATTTCGTGTTGTTTTCCTATTTTCTTCCGCTTCGGTCTTCGATCTCTTAGTATCATGTTGTTGTTACTCCTTTTTGTTGATGTTTCTATCTTTCTGGCCTATTTGTTGATGTTACTTGTTTCCACTGTTTCTTTTCTCTTTCTTGAGCTGAAGCTCTATCGGAAATAGTCTCTCCACCTTTTTAGGGTAGGGATAAAGCCTACGTACACATTATCCTTCCCAAACCTCACTTTTGGGATTCAACTGGATTATTGTTGTTATTCCTAACACAGATTTACAATATACAGCTAGAAAAGTTTTATTTTGTGCCTCACTCAACTGACGCTAGTTGTTTGAGATCTCTTTTTTGTCTCACAACTTTGTGGTCCCAGAATTTTATGGATCCAAATATGTAAGATATGAGTCCAAAAACGTGTGAGATAAAAAGAGCCCCGCACAACTAATATCAGTTGCGTGAGACGGACATAAAATCATTCATACAGCTACATGAGGATTGTCACAGTTTGACAAGTGTAGATTGTGGGACTCACTATAATCCGCCATAACACTAAGTCATTACACATCATGTAAGAATGAGGCACTAACTATGGACCAATTCCCTAAAAGTTCCATTAAAATATTCCATTCCTCCCACCCCTTACCCAATGAAAACATCTTCTGATCTTCATTTGCAGTGGCCAAAGTTAAAGATAAAAGAAATTCCAAGAACCAAAGCTTTGTTAATGTCCCTCAATTGTTTGGTCTTTGTAACCTGTCAAGACTCAACAAACTCCATTTACTTCCATTTATGGCATCATACTACTTCATTAGAGCAAGGTTATTGCACCAAAAGTGTGGCTTGAGCGTTAATAGAATAACTAAATTACGAGAGATTAGGATTCAACCATTTATCGAGACGAAATAATATTAGGTGATTTCTTCTTATTTTAGGTATGGCAGACAAAGTTATTCGTTATATGTATTGATTCTAAGGCAGACTTTAGTATGTAGGTGACGGTTTCATCCCAGCTTAATAGCATTGACTCAAATCTTATATATGTGTTTTAAAAAATATAGTTCCCCAGTCAAAATTTATGTGGGTCAACTCAGATTTCGAGAGTCAAATTACTTAATTTTGATAGTCAATTTGTATATAAAAATTTTTAAAATAAAATTTGTATATTTAAAAACTATATAAATAGTGCTATAAGCCATAATAATTAATAATTCAAAATGTTTAAAAGGCATATAAAAGCTTGTGATAAAAAAACTCGTTTGACCTTCTGTTTACCCGTAAAACGGTACAGTTAAATTTATACGTGGTTTATAGACAAGTGAATTAATTTGATCCTGAGATAATAGAAGAACTAGATAAATATGCGATACTTAACCTTGAGATGGAAACGAAATAGCAGAAGCAGTAGTTCCGGAAGCAGGGCTTCCGGGCACAACAACAATGAAATAAAAAAGCAAGAAGATAAAACTATATTAAGCTTTGAATAGAGTGTAGCGTAAGTTTGCTAGAAAATTCGTGTAATTTACAATGATAATAGAGCTCACTATTTATAACTGCTTCTAAGGAACAAGGTCCTACGATCAAGCTCTTCTTTAATGTCAATTATGAGAGCCATTGAAGAATGTGTAACGGCGGACATGAATGTCAAATTCTTTGTAAAGGGCAGTGCACAAAATGCTGTAGAATATTCTTCACTAAATGCTACAAGGTGACAGACATTTATTTCATCTTTATGAGGACCATTCTTTTCGGTAACAGACGGAATAGTTGCCTTCGGTTTCGACTATCCTCTGCCTTCAGCTCCACGTGTCGCTTTCTTATGCGATCATTTAATATAACATGTTTTACCCTATACACTTTCGAAATCCGAATACCACCACATAATAAGTACAAATAATAGATTTCAAACTAGGTAAATCAACTGACACGTGGCATAATCCCGAACTTGAATCTATAAAGTTTAAATTTGAATCTGCCTCGGTCGCGGGAGAGTGGTAATAGGTTTTTAATAAAATAATCGAGGCAAGCACAAATTAACCCAAATACCAGAAGTACAAAACAGCCAAAGGTGTTACACTGCTTTATACACTACCTTGAATTCTAAATCCAATAAACCAATCCATGAAAACAGAAACTTGATGACATCCCTTTTTCCTCCACCATAGGACTTCACCTCTGAACTTTTATTAAAGGAGTAAAGATTCCTCTTTCAGCTAAAAAAGAATAGAAATGCAGTAGTCTGCCTTAAAGGGAAACAAATTGTAGTAGAATTCAATCAGAATCCAGCTGTATTTAACCCTTTTAATTTGAAGTATCTTGACCAGCCCCCACATCTAAATACCCCTTTTATCCTCCACGTTGTTCTCTGCTTCTCTCTCTCTCGTTCTACTAAAACCCTGAAATCATTACTTTGGTCAAAGGGTCAAAACCTGCATCTTTCTTCACAAACTGAATCCTTCAATTCTCTGTTTGTCCACATAAAAAATCTGGTCTTTTGTCTCTCTCTGCTCTCTGTTTTACTATATTACTTCTTGTTTAACTAGAAAATAAGAATTTTGGTCAAAGTTAATATTTTAGAAGAGCTCGAGTTACTAATAATCAAGAAAACTAGATTCAAAACAATTAGACTTGCAATAAGAAAGCAATAAGAATGCGTAAAAATAAATGTATTTCAGTAGTAGTTCGATCGTGTCTCTACAAGTGATATTTTCTTCCCTTTTATAGGGAACTTCTTAATATAACGCCTACTCTCATTAATAATTGAACATTAATGACTAATAATATCATTAATCTAACGTTATAATATGTAATCGTAACTGTTGCGTGAAGATTATGTAACGTTTGGCTCATTGATTGAAGATCTTTGAATCTGCCCTTTATCCTGCCTTGGTTCATTCTGACCGTGTCTCTTCAACTCCTCAATTAGACTGAGGTTCCCGCATCTAATTGTCTCCTGGATATGCTATTTCGTTCCTCTTTGTTTCGTACCTCTTGTAAATTTGTGACCAGCTGTCATGTTTCTATTGCTCCACATGGATCGCTTTGTCATCAGAAATATTACATGTGTAAAGTCTATTTTTTACCAATACATATAGTCCCCCTACTTACTATTTATTTATCGATTAAATATTTGGTAAGTGGATACTCATTTATGGCGGGAATTTTTTGCCGCCACTTCAGCCGTACCATCGTATCCGTCTTTGAATGTATACATCGCTTGTCACTTTCATTTAATGCTCGTGCCACGTGGCATTCTCATATTGGTTCTGCAATTATTCAGCGCCTTTTAGGACTTTTTGCGGCTGCATCAGTTACGAAGTGACAGTTTCAATTATGACTAACATCACTACTTTTTCCATTTTTTGACGGTCGCCTCTGAGTATAAATACCCCTTTTTCTTTCCTCTGCTTTCATGAAAAACTTCTAACTCCCCTTCAATGTTCGTAAATTCTTCTTTTCGTAAATATGTCTTCTTCAAGCCAGCAACCCAAAAAAGTTATCATTGTAGATGAATTATCTCCTTCTCCTACTCCAATCCGCAGTAGGTGGGGTGGTAGGCTAAGAAGCTTAAGTTCTACACCTTCCAAGGGTTCTTCTTCTTCTTCTCATAATATTACTCCTCCGACATCTTCTAAGCCTAATATTTCTTCATCTTCTTCGAGGGCTAAGGCTTCTAGATCTTCTTCTAAGAATAGGGAACTTAACGAACCACTTTGTGAGCCAAGAGTTGATGAAATTGTCCCTGCCGAGTTTTCTTTTATAAAGGATAGTGAGGCCATTAGTAAGCAGCTTTCTTCCATGTCATCGCATGATCGTGCTGACCTTTATCCTACCCAAATAACAGAGGGTTTAGTGTCACATGTGCGTAGAGATTGTTGTTGGAAATCTGATTTTCCAGTCGTAGTTCCTAATGACATTCAAAGAATAACCTCTTACAAAACTTGGTATTCTTTTTTGTACACTTATCCCTTTACTTTAGGATTTAAGCCTCCTATCAACCCTGTCATCATAGAATTCTGCCGATTCTTCAATGTTTGTTTGGGACAAATCGGTCCTCTTGTTTGGAGGGAAGTTGCATGTCTTAGGTATTTGGCGAATTTAGCTTCAATTCCTTTTACTTTCCATCATCTTATTCATCTCTATTCCCCGATGCTATTCCGCCAAGGAGTTTTTGCTCTCGCGGCTAGGAGTAAAAGGGTTATAGTTATACCTGATGATGACAAGGATAGAGGATGATATGTCCGATATGTTGCTGTCCCTACTGCAGGTTTTGTAGGTGAAGAAAATCTCCCCTTTTCTGAGAAGTGGAACTTTGCACGTGAGTAGAGTTTTGCTCACTTTCCTTCTTTATTTTTGATAAATTACCAGTACCGTGACTATTTCTTTTTTCTTTTGCAGCAACTATGGGAACCGTCAAAGAAATCTCCGCTTTCCGTAATTGGGTAGAAAAATTACTGGTGATCGCTCCTATGGAAGAACGTTCTTGGAAATTCCTCTCGTCGAAGTTTGGTTGGAAGGTGAAAACCCATGGTAAGTTTTTTTTTTTAATTTCCTTTCTTTTCTTTTATAGCTTTTCTGATCCCTTTCATTTGTTAGGGTTTCCTGCTCGTGGAATCTCTGCTGCTGCT